TGGACTGATGTCCTTCATCAGCGATTTCTCTTCACATTTTGTCCTCATTCTCTCCCTGCTCCTTCTGGAACCGTATCCTCTAGATTTCTTTACCTCTCTTCCATATTTTTCATCTTTTTGTTTCAATGTGTTGATTTTTAATCTATCCTTTGGTTCACAGATTCTCCCTTCATCTAATTGGCTAATTCAATCCATTTATTTTTATACTAACATAATTACTAGAAAGTAATTATGTTTTTCAATTCTAGAAATTCTTTCCAATGTACCTTTAAAAATATTTTATGCCTTACAATTTCATGATTTTACATTTTTTAATCCAGAAATAAGGCATAGGTCTTTTATGGCCTGTTTCTGATAATTTTCATATCTAAAATCTTTGTGGGTTGGTTCCTGCAGTTTGTTATTTCTGCTGCTTCTCACTCATATTGCCTTGTTTCCCTTCTTATTTTTAACAGTGTTTTACGGTGTACTGTTTACTATCCTTGCAAAAGGTATTTATGGGAAAGGTCTAGGATACAGGGCATCTTCATCCAGGAAAAATTTTTGTTTATTTATTCTAAGCTCCTGTAAGTACTACTATTCTAGGTAATGTTAACCAAGTTCACTGCTTTGGCTTCCCTGGACCCCCTAGACAACACCAGCCACACTTGTAAATCCCTGATGGACCATCTTCTTTCCACAACCTCCTGAGGATGTTTATCTTGCCTTTGTTCGTCTGCCCTCTTCAGCATCAGGGTGACTTTCCCTGAGCTTTGGACGTGGGGCTAAGCTCTGTTCTTATTCCTCTTATTCTGATGGTGTATCACTTTGTATCCTCACTTAAAGGAGGGAAAATATCCTATCAGACTTCCCACCTTGAAGAACACTAAATTCTTGAAATAATTCCCTTTTACCCCTCGTGTCTGCCAAAACTGAAGCTCAGGTTTGTTAGAATAAAGAATATTTGAGGCAACTTTGGAGATCTAATTATGTCTCTGATATTTTTCCTGGTGTTTCTTACTCTCCCATCAGCAATTCTGGCTTTTGAAAATACTCTTTTTAAAACCTTGTAACCAAATTTTTAATTGTATTTAAGAAAAGGATTTATTCACATACCTAGCATGACACAGAAACTGAAGTTTATCACTATTTCTTTTCTTATGACTGCTCAAAGAACAGAATAAATGAATTTTTAGCTATCCATTCAGAAAAATTATTGCTCCAAAAATTGATTCTTTAGAGAAGATATTTCTCAAAAGAGGAATGAAGACAAAGAAACGAAAGATAGATTAGAAAGTCACTGTTTTTAAAAGTGGCCTTACGATATCTCTGTGGTTTGCAGAAGTCAATAGAAGAGAAGAAAGAAGGAGTGAAGGAATGAACAAAGAAATAAATGAAGAAACAAATTAAAATAAGTATAACTAGATATATTTTTCTACCACTGTAAAGTCTAATCAAGATTTGTAGGCTTGAACCAAAAGCTGTCAGTGACCTTAAGCCATCATTTAGTGCTGAAAGTGAACCCTCAAGTCTCAATAAATGGACCCTATCATATAACAGTCTCTCCTGGTACTCTGACTAAACGTTTCTAAAGTGCTTATGTAAAGCTTATTAAATGTGCTTGCAAATCTAGAATATTGACCTAAATTATAACCATGAAATGCAAGCAAGACAGATTGAAGAATTTCCTGAAAGTGAGTATTGTTAAACCAGCAAATAAAAATATTTGGTGGCATATCCTTCGCATACAGCATTTAAGATTTTCCGTGATTTTATGATTCTCTCTTTGTCTCTTTCTCTATCTCTGTATATGTATAATGTACTACAAAATCACACACACACGCATGCACACACACACACGGGTTCTTCTGCAGGAAAAATGAGAATGTGCAAGACATCTCTGGTACTTCATTCCAACCTAATGATTCTAGCAATCTAACTCTTTGGAAATCAATAGCTGAACCTCACTTTGGGTCAAAAGGAAATCTTGAGACTAAGAGACTATGAGATTGTTTGTAATAGCTATAGGTAGTGCAGGAAACTCTTGACATTGTCGTTAGCTCAAATTTCATTGTCACTAAGGCTGCTCCTCTAAAATGGCATTTTAAGAGTCTTAAAATAAGTGTCTATTTGGACAAGTATCCAAAATAAGCAAGATTCCCAGAGCTCTTGGGGTCTCTGAGTTTATTTTGTGATAATAACATAGTGTCACCTTTGCATATTTTTCCTGGCATTTTCCTTTGGCAACATCTTCATCCATCGTGACTTTGTGTCTACAGTTGCTGGTGGACAGAGTTTTGGCCTTGATCAATGGGTTCTTTCTGCAAAGGGGCCATGGCTGGTCAAGGTGTTTTTGGATATCTGGAACATATCTTTTTTTTTCTTGAGACCAGAAGACCTTACTATCAGAACGTTAGAGTATCCTCAGCTGGAAGCAGTGACTCACACTTGTAGTCCCTGCACTTTGGGAGGCCACAGTGGGAGGAGCCCTTGAGGCCTGAGTTCAAGACTTACCTGGACAAATAGCAGGACTATGTCTCTGCAAAAACACAAACAAAAAAAATTTAAGTAGCTGGGCGTAGTGATACATGCCTGTAGTCCTAGCTACTTTGGAGACTGAGGTGGGAAGATCACTTGAGCCCAACAATTCAAGGTTGCAGTGAGCCACGTTGGTACCCCTGCACTCCACTCTGGGCAACAGAGCAAGACCTTCTCTGAAAAAAAAAGGAAAAAAAAATTTCTGTGTTACAAACAGGCTCCAAAAATCTTCGGGCAGGGGAAATTTTGCACAAACCTATAAAATCTGCATTCATCCCAATACCTTGAGACCTACTTTAGGATTTACAATACCTACTATATTTGTGTCCCTGCCCCCATCTCTCTCTTACCCAATCTGGCTGGCATATCAGAATTGGATTCATATTCCTGAAGTTCTGAGCAAATTTTTTGCTTGATTAAGAATATCTCTGGGTAGAGAAAAAAACAGTGGTTACCAGCCATGAGAGTAGCAGGGCAAAAATAGAGACATGTGTCTGAGAATATAAAGTAGCAGATGTCGGCTGGACAAGTCTAGAGGTCTAATGTACACATGAGGACCATAGGCAATAAAATTGTGCTGTATGAGGGATTTCTGCGATATAAGTAGCTTTTAGCTGCTCTTGACACAAAAAGGAGGTTGGAGTAACTCAGTGCGATGACAGATATGCTAATTTGCTTCACTATAGTAACCATTTTACTATCTATATGTAACTCATAACGTCATGGTGTACACCTTAAATATACACAATAACAGTATTTGAAAGGATATTTCTCAGTTACCTCCCACTTTTTAAGGTTCTGTCTATTCATCTTATTTCCCACTTCTGCTGAGCCACCCCCACCCACTCCATCATTCAGGTGGGTCCCCGACTCTGCCGCTCTCACACCATCTGCTCCTTCACTTCCTTCCTTTGCTCCTGGACTCAGAAGGGGACAGGCACTGGCCAGTCCTTCCTTGATCCATCCTTCCTCTGCCCTTCCCTTCCTCCTACACAGACCACTGTTGTTCTCCTTATCTCTGCTGGATTGCCTTGTCTAGTTTTGCTGTTGTTGCTGTTGTTTTCTTTCTTTCTTTCTCTCTCTCTCTCTTTCTTTCTTTCTTTCTTTTTTTGGAGGCAGAATCTCACTCTGTCGCCCAGGCTGGCGTGCAGTGGCACAATGTTAGCTCATCACAACCCCGCCTCCCAGGTTCAAGTGATTCTCCTGCCCAGCCTCCTGAGTAGCTGGGATTACAGGCACGCGCCACCATGCCCAGCTAATTTTTGTATTTCTGGTAGAGACGGGGTTTCACTATGCTGGCCAGGCTGGTCTCAAACTCCTGACCTTGTGATCCACCAGCCTCAGCTGCCCAAAGTGCTGGGATTACAGGCATGAGCCACTGCACCCGGCCTTGTCTAGTTCTTAGTTATCATTCTTATCAGTGCCTGGCCAGCACTAGTCTGAAGAAGAATGAGGTAAATTTCTTGCCTTCTTTTGTCTCATCCCCACTGCCATCCCAATTTCTTACAATAAAAACAACAACCACCACTATTAAATGTTTGGATTCTTTATTTTAATCCTTGCTATATCCCATTTTACTTATGAAGAAAGTACGATTCAGGAAAGTAAAGAAACTTTTCCGCTCAATTGCAGAGTTGAGATTCAAATCCAGGAATATCTGACTCCAAAACAATTCTACTTTACTACCTTCTGATGATAATCGAATTTTACTCCCCCTATCCTTTCTCTTCTCCTTCTTTCCAATAACTCCTAGGAGGTGATTTAGTTATTTTAGATGAAACGTGGTGTAGAAGAAAAAGGCAGGCTTTGGAACCCTATAGGCCTGAATTGGAATTGCATCTTCAAGACTCACAAGAGGACCAGCTTTGGAAGAATGACATCACCTGCCTGCCTTTTGTTTTTCTTGTCTCCTAAACTGAGGTCACAATGCCCTGGAACCCAGTACAGGGCCTGGCATATGATAAACATTCAACAAATATATGTTGAATAATTTCTCCCTCTTTCTTTCCCTTATTATTTTTGCCTTCTGTCTCTCATTTTCTCCTTTTAATTATTTGCTTTAATTCTAGCTCAGGTTGATCAAAATAGCAAATGCTATTAGGGACAGTTTGGGAAATTTGAATATTGATTTTTTTCAATATAGTAGAATGATTGTAAATTTTCACATATGATAATGGTGCGATAGCTAAGGTTTTTATTTTTAGAGATGTTGCAGAAATATTCATGGATGCAATTGTATGATGTCTAGGACTTGCCTCCATAAAACCCAGTGAAGTGGGGGATTGGGAAATAAAAGAAAATATGGATGACGCAACGAGATTAGCTTTGAGTTGGTAGGTGTTGAAGCTGACCAGTGAGTGCATGAGGGTTTCTTATGCTACGTCTCTACTTCTGTGTATGTGTCAAAATTTCTGCAACGGAACATTTCCAAAATGTCCAGTGTAGCAGGCTCAAGCCTCAGTATCTTCCCCCATCCTCACCGAAGTCCCCGATCCTCCCCGGTAACATTCTGGGCAGCTTTCCTCCTTGCTTCCCCAGCACCTCCTGGGCTATTTCAGACTCGATGCCAGCAGAGCGCCACACTGCCTCAGCCCCCGCAGTTGGCACATGGACAAAAATCTTTTCCTGACCCCAGATGGCATCGAAGCTTCCTCAGTCTGATCCTGTCAGCATATTTTTTCCAAGCACCTGATTCCTGGATGTGGCAGCAGTAAAACCAACCGAGATTGTTTGGCCCCCTCTGGAGCAGGTATTTCCCATTCCGATGTCGTCAGCCATCCGAGCATGCTGCTTCCAACAGCTCCGAAATAACAGCCTGGTAAGAATTTCACAGACTGCAGTGCATGCTTTTAGACTTCTGGCCAGGGTGTTCCTGAGGGATGGAGAGCCACTGGGGTAGAAGACACACTTACATTAGTGATTATTAATTGCAATGCTGGTGGAAATAAACAATTTTAGGGATGGCCTTTTACTGGGAGGCTGGCATGAGCAAGGGGAAGAAAGCAAAGAGGAAGCACACATGGGGTTTCTTTGCTCTGCTGTTTGTCACACCATATGGACTCCTTAGGTTAAATGTACATAGCAACTCCAGTTTTCATTGAAATAAAAAGATAAAGAGCTGAGTTATTGCTATCTTGGTTATTTCATAAGGAACTAGCAAAGAATGGTCAGCAAGGTAGGTCAGGCATGTCCGCATGGAGGGCTGGACCTGAGACCTCACTGGGTGGTTCCCAGGTGGTGCTCCAGGAAAGACCTTTGAGGGTGTGGGTGTCTTCTGTGCTGTCATAAATCTAGAGGGTGGGTGATGCACAAAGCCCCTCCCACTGGGCTGTGGTTTACTTCTCAGATCAGGTTGAATGGTAAAATCAAAATGTTAGACTTGGAGAACGAGCGTTCCAATTATTTTTTCTGAGGCAGAAATCCACCCTTGTTTCCAATGCTATGCATCACTTCATAATTTCAAAGTACTTCCGATCTGTCTCTCATTGCAGCCTCATGGTCCCTGAGGTTATGGCAGATGTTATTATCCCTGCCTGTCAACTGGGGAAGCAATTAAGGCCAAGAGACATGACGATGAATGGACTTATCTAAAGCCACACGAGTCTCTTGGTTTCGAGTCTACGTTTTTCTTCCCCAAATCAACATGAGTTATTATGCTCAAGAACCATCAGGATCTTCAAGGAAATGGGCTGGGGAGAGTGGCTTAGTAGCCGGCAAAGTAGGTTCTAGTAGGCCCTACCACTGGGGTCTCTTACCTATCAAAATCAGACAACAGTTACCACTGATACTCATATGGGACAAAGATGCCAACAATAATGACAATGGCCTAGGGAACTCTGTCCCTCTGCAGTGCTGAAGGGAGCACACACCTTCCTCCCAGCCAGAGAGGACTTGTCCAATGAAGGGAGCACACACCTTCCTCCCAGCCAGAGAGGACTTGTGCAATGAAGGGAGCACACACCTTCCTCCCAGCCAGAGAGGACTTGTCCAATAAAGGACTTGTGCAATAAAACTCCACTGACAATCCGGCATGTTTTCCAGCACTGGGCTGGTAATTTCTGTGCTTCTTCATTAATCTAGATGCAATGTTCCTCCTCCAAACTTTCCTCCCCACTTCCCTTTCTTCCTCCCTTCCTTTATGTTTTCAGTTAGTGTATATTCAGTACCTGCTTTCCCCCAGGCTGGGCCATGAGCATAGTGAAAATATTTTTCACCTGTAAACTACAATATATTCATGTCTACCTTTGTCACTATCTCCTTCCCGGAACACCCACTTCTCTCTTCCCTGTTAATCCACTGCCTGCTTCACCAGACAATTCAGACCACTCCATTCCCTAGCAAAGCCCTGTGCTGTGGATTACCAGTGAAACTATTTTCACCTTGGGGTTGAGTAAAAGTACTAAGTTCTTTCCTAACTCCAGGACCATTTATCTGTGCAGCCTTAGGAAGTCACTTAACTTTCCAAGTCTCAGTTTCACCCATTATAAAACGGAAATGATAAAAAACTGTCCGATTTACATATAAATAATCATTGCTATTAAAGCCAAGTGAAAAGTATGGAGGACAGTATGTAGTCACTGGTTTAATATTTATGGTGTTTTATTAAATATAATTCACTAATCTAGGCACAAGATAAACTCTGCCCTCAAAGATTTATAATATAGTTTGGGAAGAAAAATTTCATCAATTACACCAGTATGAGGCCATGAAAAGTGCTAGGGAAGTTTAGAGGGGGAAGAAATAAATTCTGACTGGGGTGCTCAGAGATGGTGTCATGAAGGGGGTGGCTTGTGAGCTGGACAATGAGAGACAAGCGTGTTTGAGACAGGCAGTTTGGAGGGAGGAGGCGGAGAGACAATGTGTGCTGAAGGAACACCGTGGACAAATGGCTGAGTTTAGGGAAGGGGATGTCGTGCAAGCCCCGGAGTGGCATGTGGTTTAGTTTGGCTGAAGTGTAAGGGTTCCTCAAGGAGAGTAATTCAAGATACACCAGACATGTGGATTTGCAATGGACTGTCAAATGCTGGGTTTCAGAATTCAGACTTTATCTGAGAAGTCATCGAGAGCCATGGATGCTATTTGAAGATGGAGTGTTTAAATACAAGGACACCCTTTTGGAAGATTCCTTGAGGGGCAAAATAGAGAATGGACTAGAGACGACATTACACAGGTGCAAGTTATAAAGTACTGTGATAGTCATTTGCTCCAAATAAGCAGTATCAATATCTGTAACTTCTTGTGATAGACCTTTCTCTGCACCATTTCACAAGTCTCAGGGCTTGCCTTGGCTCATGGTGAGGAGCTGCTGGTCCTAACTAGTTGATGGTTGAGTTCCAGTTCTGTGTGTACTCACTGAAGCCCAGTGCAGCAGCTATACAAGGTGTCAGCTTGAACAAGATTGAAAGGAGAGGCTAAGCACATTTAAGCTGCAGGTGCTTTTCTCTTCCCTCCACCTTCTCTGCTCAGATTTGGCTCTCAGAGGCTTGCAGCTTCACTCATAAATAGAGATGGCAGAGACGGCCGCTAGAGAGCACATCTGGCAGGGCCCTGAGCAGATGTTCTAACCACTGGGATGTCTGAGCTCCAATGCTGAGCATCCCGTCCTGCTCTTTTATAACAGGATCTGCTGGGCTTATTGCAGATTGGGCATAATAAAAACTGCCCTATTTACACATGAGACCATATAAGGTTATGAATAATATAGCATTCCACTGGCAAAGAATCAATAGCATGGAGGCTTAGCTACAAATTTTCTTTCTCTCTCAATGGGAGACCTCAGAGAATAGAAGGATGCACAGATCAACAAGTTTATTGTTTGCTTGTTTGTTATACTGGGGAAAGGAAATGGCACCTATATACATTAGAGGACCATGAATCAATGACTAGTTACATAAAATAACCACTCACTTTAAGTGCTAGACCCAGCAAACTATAGACACTTTTCAGCCCTTGTGTTACAACTCATTATGAGGATCCCAAGTATATTCAGTACACCTCAACATCCTGGGTTTCCTCGCTCCTTGACCAAATTTTTCACTGAAGAGGGAGGGTGAGGAGTACAGGAAACCATGAACTGAGGAGACTAAGTGGTGAAGTGCACAAAGATATATGAATTTTGATTATAAAATAATAGTAACAGCTACTATTTAATGAGCCCCTATTATGTATCAAATATTGTGTAGGATGCTTAACAAATGTGACTTCCTTGAATATTTATAACATTCCATTTTAAAGGCAGGCAAACAAAGGCTCAGGGAGCTTGGCCATCATTCTGTTTAATATTATATTAGAAAATATACATTAAAGGGAGAAATTATCCCATAAGCATCATGTAATAGGAGCAACAACATTTCTGCAATATTTTAATTGCAAAGCTATTTCACATACAATGAGCCATATTCCCAAGAGGAAAAAAAAAGAGAGAAAGAGGAATTAGGAAATTAGATCACAGGAGAATTAGGATGTGCTAAGAAATTTCCATGTGCTAGGCACATACATTATCTTGTTTAATTTCTAGATGTTATTGCCTCCGCTTTGCAGGTGAATAAGCTCAAGCTTGGTAAAGTTAAGTAGACTATGCAATGCTTATAGTTTGTGAGTGGCAGAGTCAGGATGAAAATTAATATTGAATTTAATTAAAGGAGAGATAGACTGGGCCCAAGATGGGAGACACACTCTCTACATTGCAATGAGTTGTTGCATATTTTGGTTTTAAACATCAACCAAGTATCTGTTTAGAACCTACCATTTGGCTCAAAAGAGTTACCGAGTTCAACCTCCTTATTTACAGGTTGTTAGAGTGAAATATTCATGTAGACCCTTGAGGCTGTGGCAGAAGTGGTGGCAGATGAGAGCCCTTCCAGGTGATGGTAAGGAGCCCTTGAATGTGGCCTAAGAGGGACATGGGTACAGCAAGGAGTCAGGAAAAGTGGAAAGAGTCAGAGATTTTTATCATAGTTGAAGGGTTTTTTTAAGTAAAGCCTACGATTAAGCTGAAGTGAAAAGACCTGACCTTCAGAAATATGCACTGACTATTGATAAATGTGGTATAAGAGCAGCTAACAATAGAAACACAAATTCTACAAGGATGCTGAAAAGCAGAAAAGATATAATTGTCAAAAGCTTAAGAGAGGCTCTTTGGAAAATTAATAAAACCTTTTATTATTTTTGTAAAACTTACTTTTTTTATGATTTTGCTAAGAAAGTTGAATGTAAAGTGAAGGCTGGAATATTATGCTGTCACTGAGTTTTAGCAGGAAAATGTTAATAAATAACAAAAACAAAAAGACTGAGCATTTGATATACTCTTAATTTATTCTCAGAGTCGGGGTATACTAGTAATTAATACATGAATATTATAAGGTAAAATAAACATACCTGAGTGCTTGGTACATAAAAGGTGATACTCATTAATTTTTACTGAATAAATGAACAAATTTCCCCAGACCCTTAGAAAAGAGAGAAAGGGAAAGGTCTCCAGGTTTGCTGTGGGTAGTTTTCCCCAGCTGAAACAGGAAAAAGGAGCTGTGGCAATTTGCTCTGTGAAGGGGACCAAGGGGGTCCTGATGATATGGCCATCCCAGAGTTACGAAGACAGGCATTTCAGCAATACAACTTTTGTCATCAATCCAGCCATTACCACTTCATAGTGCATTCCTTAAAGAACTTGAAGGACAGCTATGAATTAGCTCATATCATTGAAGCACAAAGCTGTGTATCTTTTGTCTGGCAGTGGAAGCCATGGATTTTCCCATTTGTTACACACACTTTTAAAATTTTCTTTTAGGAAAGGAAATAAAATATAACCTGTACTTCTAA